ATTTAGGGAAACTACCATGTAATGTCATATAGGGTTTAGAGCTTCGGGTTTAGGGTTCAGTTCAGCGCTTAGGGTTAAGGGTTTAGTGCTCAGGGTTTAGGGTAGGGACTAAGGGAACATAATCCCTATATAATAGATTCCTACATTCCCTGCTAACCCCCGGTCGGTAAGGCCGATAACTGTCTCCTTTGGTACACCTTGTCAAGGATTTAGGGCTCTGGTTTTCTTAAGGTGAAGATATCATTGCTTTAATTCTTCTAAAGGAGCCCTGTAAGCATTACATATACATATATATATATAGTCTTTTATATGAATATATATATATATCAGGACAACTCATGGATTACCGGAGTTGTTTACTACACTTTCCGAATCAAAATGTGCTGATGTCATATCAAAATTGTTTAAGGACTTGCGAGTTATCTGAGCACACCATATCATAGGTAGCTGTATTCTGAGTCGCTCAGACGTTCTATGAGGGAACTGGGCAACCTAGGCCAAAGATGTGCAACGCTGTGGGAATACTGCATGGCGGCGCGCTCATGTCCTTCTGCGACGCCGCTCTTTTCGTCATCGCGCGAGAGCACACGTTCGAGACAACCGGAAGGGTCTCCTTGACAGCTAAGCAAGGGTAACTTGAGTCAATCCCGTCCCCACTAACAGTTAAATGAGGCCCCTCCTTCTTAATTTGTATTGCAAAATGAGCACAAGAAAATAAGCCCAGTTGGGGTTATTTTCTCGTGCTCGTTTTTGTGCTTCGGATTGTGATCCCTGTGGTCACTTACCACAATCCGAAGCACAAAAATGAGCACAAGAAGATAAGCTCAGTTGGACTCATTTTCTCGTGCTCATTTTTGTGCTTCGGATTTTGATCCTTGTGGTCACTGCTAGTGCAACCAAAAAACTCCCGTACTACTCCGGTACTACTTCAGTACTACCCGGCACCACAATCCGAAGCACAGAAATGAGCACAAGAAAAGAAGCCCAGTTGGAGTTATTTTCTCGTGCTCATGTTTGTGCTTCGGATTGTGATCCCTGTGGTCACTTACCACAATCCGAAGCACAAAAATGAGCACAAGAAAATGAGCTCAGTTGGGCTTATTTTCTCGTGCTCGTTTCTGTTCTTCGGATTGTGGTCACTGTTAGTGTAACAAGGATTTACACAAAGGGTAACCCTAATACTAGTAATCGTAAAAGTACTAATAATAGTAATAGGAATAATAATAGTAATAGTTATAATAATAGTAATAATCATAGTAACAATAATAGTAATAGTAATAATGATAGGGTTTAGGGTATTGGGGGTTCTATAATAGTAATACGAATAGTAGTACTAATCGTAATAGTACATGTTCTGGGCATATGGTATAGGCCCCATACTGATCAAGAAGTATAGCAGTGTCCATCTTATTTTCCTTTATCCCAATATAATTCCATTATCCCAATATAACCCCAGCATAACCCCAATATATACCCTAGAATACCATAATATTGGGGAGGCTTTTCTAACAGGAGCAGCTTCATGGCTGTGGTAACAGTGGGAGCAGTGCAGGCCAAAGGTGTGTTGCAACTGTCTAACGCGTGTGGGAAGGGTTTAGGGTTTAGTCCAACTGGTGTAGGAAGGGCTGAGGTTTCTGTTGAAATCAACGTGGAAAAGCGGAAGAAGCCCACTTAGCTATTCATTGAATCCTCACTGGTAGGCGCACACCCCCACTTGAGCCTTTTAAGTCCAAATCCAACCAGACTATACCTTGAATCCTAGGCTCTTAATCTAAAACCCTAAACCCTTCACCCTAAACCAACCCTAAACCCTAAACCCTAAACCAACCCTAAACCCTAAACCCTAGGTCTTCGTGACCCTGAGCTTCAGCATCGACTTCCTTAGCCGCTGCCGTGCCGGGGCACAAGTCCTTGCGGGGGGACAGGTGGTGAAAGTCTCGAATGAGAAGGACCATTTGGTTTAGGGTTCGGGTTTAATTAGGGTTTGGGGTTTGGGTTTAGGGTTTAGGGTTTAGGTTTTAGGGTTTTTCAGGATTGGCTCAAAAGCCAACCATGGGAGTTTTCCATCAAGGTGCCCATATGCACGGTGTGTCCTTATCAGCCCGGTAGCTTTTTTGAAATATTACTCTTACATTTGTTTTTGGAGGCTTCTCCCAATTGCGGATAGTTTGGCGGCCCTTCTAGTCAGAGCCTATATGATTATGGTTGTTGCAGGCGTGTTCATGTGGGCCTGGAAGTATCCTCGTTTCCACCTAAACCATCACTAAACTCCACAGCCATCTCAGTATTCAACTCCAAAACCCTAAGCCCATCAGGATCTCATCCTGGTCCACGGCTGGGCCAAAGCAGGAAGTGACGGAGGCCGTCTCCTGGCAACCTTCCGTGGCACGCTGCGCTTCGCAGGGCCAGCGCTGATCCCCGGCCACAAGAGCCACAGGAACCAGCTTGCAAGGTTGTGAGAGTCAGGGTTTAGGGTGTAGGTCCCTCATAAAGGTTCCTAGAAGCTACCCTATTATAGGGTACCGGGTATTAGAACAATCCAGACTTAGGAGTATCATTATAATTGGCGATCTATAATGACTTGGTGTTCGCGTCTGGGCTGCTTTGGAAATAGCTTGGCGATACATCTTGCAAAGCATGCAAGGTTTCCAGAAGCAGAATCTCCAGTGGTAGAATTTTAGACCAGTTATAGTCCCCTTCAAGTAGATCAAATATGGAGTCCCCCCGTATCATAATAAGATCTACTCCATATTTTGTCTACTTAAGGGGGACTATCCTGCTGGCGAAGCAGTGCTTGCTTCTCCGTGCTCCCAATCTGACGATTTTCCAGTAAGAGGTTCAGGGTTAAAGGTAACTAAGACGCCACCTGCCAAGTTTCCGTCAGCATGAATCTGGTAGGCGGCCAGGTGGAAAGATGACTCCCATATCCATGCTACGCTAAGTCAAGCCTAGATCAGTTGTGTTTGAGAAGCTCCAACTGGGTACTGGCGTGCAGATCAGGATTTGGCAGCTGTTGATGTTCCTAACTTCCGTGCTCGTTTGGCTGCCTTCAAGACCAGTGCCCAGGCTACAACCCCAAAGGGGATCAAAACGTGCATGAAGGTCATGAGGGGCTGGAAGGCCTTTGGTAAGCTGCCGGTAGGAATTTGGGCACAGCTTGGTTTGGTTCATCCCAGTAGTCCTGGACAGGAGGCAGGTCACACTCCTGGCCTCCTCATGTCTCCTGATGCGCTGTACACATTTCCCGGTTCCAAAAATGTTGCTGAACAGTATTATATAGTATAGTAGTATTTGAGGCTGTGTAATGGAGACCTCATTTTTTGGAATCCATGTGAATATCTGAACTCACAGATCAGCCGGCCAAAGATTACGCCTGCAAAGGAGGCAGCGCGAGGAAAACACTGCTTTGTTCAGACGTCTCCTCTCTTGAAATTACTGGTCTCTTCCCCGGTAATCAAGCCTTAGTTTCCAAATTGGGACAAGTTCAAGACGTACTCCTTAGCCAAATATCATATTCTCAGGCGTATATAGCCTGTATGGCTGTTGCTAGGATGATTTTTGCTCCACCAGCAGCGGGGTCTTGCTGGCTTTCTTCTGAGATTTTCGTGGACTACATCATTCGGTAGCTTCGCTTCAGCGAAGATTTTGGTGACTCTTGGTGCTTCTAGCTATTGAGGCGGTGCCTCAAGATGGCTGAATGATGCTGAATGGATCGCTGAGTCACACGAAGGGTCCAAAGTACCCAAAGATCAGGGCGTCAGGTAATTACCATTCCGATGCCAGGGACCTGAAATTGGGTACTTTGAGAACTCAGAGTCATATTCCTTCGGCGAAAGGCCCGGGACACATGTCAACATGGAGGTTTCTTGAGGGTTTGCAGGGAAACATTGGCAATAAGGGAATACAGTGAAGAACTGCGTAACTGTGAAGTCTGGCATAGGGCCAATAATAGGCAGTCTCGGCCGAACCAAGCGACTGCGTTAGAAGGGCCCTGGCGAGTGACAACGACAAGGGCTTGTGGAAGACCCGGAATATGTTTTAAAATCGGGGTTACATAATCCTCGTCCCAATAAGGTCCCAACAGGTTCAGGGGCTTATGGTTATAAGGAATCGGGGGCATAGGGCTTATGGTTTAGGAAGGGTTCCCGCTTGTTTAGTGGGGCCCCAAACCCTAAGCGATAACCCCTTTAAAGCTCCCTAAGCCCAGAAGCCTGAATTGGACAGGCGCCGAAGCCAAAGAGTCGACTCCTCAGAACACAATGCAGGGGGGCTCGATTATAATAAGGATAAAACATGGTCGCCATGTAAACTTAAACCCTACAAGCATCCTGGATGCGGCCAAGATACGTGAGTCGTAGATGCCTCGCCCTACTACAGCACTCAAGCTCAGGACCCTCAAACAAAGACGGTTTAGGGTAACGCCAAACCTGGACAAATCAATCGCTGGGCTCCTCCGAGGAGTAAAGCTAAACCCTCAATAGTAGTTTCCATTCTATTTTCCATTCTTCCTATACCACCCCAGGGCTTTGGCACGTTCGTTCGTTGTTGTGGTTTCCTCACACTTTGGGGCTCGTGAGATGCTCCGGGTGAGGAGCCATTTCGATGTTCGGCACAGAGCCGACTTCTCAATACCTGTATATATTCAGGTTATATTGAGATAAGTGAAAAGAAAATGGAAACAACTGTCGTATAATTGGGTATGCATAGGGGTCATATTGGGATACTGGAAAAGAACATGGAAACTACTATAGTATTATAGGGCATATATAGGCGTTACAATGGATAATGGAAAAGAAAATGGAAACTACCATGGTACAGCAGGGTATGTATTGGGTTTAAATTGGGATAACGGAAAAGAAAATGGGAACTACTATAGAGGGGGTGTTCAAATTGGGAGATGAGGCCGGCGTGTCAGGACTTCTGCTCCTACTTCTATTTCTGCTCGTGCTCACTGGCTATCTGGTACTACTTCCTGTTTGCTCTCCACTCCGGTTCTCCTGTCCCAGGACTTTCGAATCAATTTGGCCCCTGGCATCAGGCAAGCTTCTTCAGATCCGCTTTGAGGAAACCAAAGCTCCTCCAACCTCGCCCTGTGGCTCAGGGGATTGGGGGTCTAGTATGTAGAGTTCTGGACATTGGGTGTAGGGCGTTCCAGAGTTTTGGTTGTAGGGATGAGGATTCAAGATAGGGTCTGGAATTTAGGACTCGGGGTTGGCGCTTTGGGCGGTGTAGGACTTAGCTGAAATCTTGAGGTCAGTCTGATGCAAAGTAGGAGCATTGGTGTTGATACCTAACTATGGCCGCCTAGGCAAGTAGAAAAGGCGAGGAGGGCTTGGTGCTTCGCGGTCAGGTTCTGAAGTTTGTGAATGTAGTTGTGCCTGCGTAAGGGAAGCCCACTTAGCCACATTGCCTTCAGACTCAAATTATGTTGGCAGGATGTTGCCTGTTCGAGGCACCAGTTCCTAATAAAAGCATGACGCCTGTTTGATTCAGAGATCATGATCAGATTGGGTGTCAGGATGCAGGCTTAAAACCCTAAACCCTCAGCCCTAAACCCAAATCACGCTTCAAGTGTGCTTAAACAGAACAAGAACCCAGAGGTCTGATCTGACATTGAAACATTCTCCCATCACCGAGCCTGTTCCTTGATAGCGCCAAGAGGAAGCCTCTGCCTTCAATAGGGATCCCGAAAATCTATGGTCCCCCTTAAGTGGATAGAATATGGGTTATATGGGGATACTATTATAATATACCCAAAGCCATGTTCTATCTACTTACGGGGGACTATACTCGATTCAATAGGGATCCCCAACACCTGGGTCATAAGCCTCAATCCTGGGCCTATAGGCCCTAAATCCAAATAGCGGGCCCCCCCGCTTTAGGCCTTGTCCCTGAGACTTGATCCTTCCCTAAACCCTAAACTCCTAACCCTAAACCCTTGAACCAACCTGAGGTTCGACATGAAGCGGCCGCCCCCAATTGGAGTGGTCAAGCATCCTCAGGGGGTGCGCACGCGCCAGGCGCAGGGTTGAGTGAAGAGTGGGTTTAGGGTTTAGGTGAAGATTATGGACGTGCTGCAAGTCGATCACAGAGGGTCATATGTCAAACTGGGCTGTTGCTGCCCCCAAACCCAAAACCGTAAACCCCTAAACCCTAAATAGTAGTTTCCATTTTCTTTTTCATCATCCCTAAATAACCCCCAATATCGTACCCCAAACCGTGAACCCTAGGCCCTAGACCCTGTACATACACTTGGCAGGTAACATCTGGCAGAATCCAGGGTGCCGAAGTCATGTGGGGTGAGATCGAAGTTTTATCAGCTCAGCTCACGTTATGAGCACTGTGTACGACCTCACTACAATTTTCGGGATACATTGGGATATATTAGGGTTATGTGGGGTTCTATTAGGTTTACATTCACGTTGAATTGTTGAATACAGTGGCAGAACCCTTTTCTAGCTTTCCAGCCGACGCACTGCGGCTCGCAATATTCCCCTCCAAATCCCGACCATGCCGTGCTACTATTTCCTGCATTGGGCTCCAGAAAAAAAGAGCTGATTTTTGCACAAAAAATAATTTCCTTCACAAAAATCACGCTAATTCTTGAGAAGCTCCGGACCCCATAGTTTTCCCCCACCCCATGATGCCTCGAAGCCGCATAGCGCATATCTTAACGACAGCATGCATTGCCAGCTCCTCATTTGAGCATCGGCTTTGAAGGATGGCAAAGCCTAGGGCTGTCAGTCGTCCAGGGCGAATATGAAGAGGTTTCCAAAATTTCGGTGCCTCTCTTTCCGCAGGCTTTCTTGTGGGGGGCTGTTTAATTCTAGAAGAACTGCACTGTTTTTAGTTGACATACACCTCGCGTTAGGTACTGCAGGTGATCCCTATACACCACCTTGAGCTGGGTTGCTGTTCAGGGTTTTAAGTTAAGTTGCCATATTAGGAGTATATAGCAAATCACGGGGTTTGCGTATTATAGTAATTGAGTTTTAAACTCCAAACCATAAAGCTTAAACCCTAAACCCTAAACCCTTAACCCTAAAGTTCCTTTGCAGCAACCCAGTATGCCCTGGATCCCTCCTTTCGACGCTGCAGGGGTATCACATCGAGGTGAAAGGGACCAATGAGGCGGGCAACCGTTTGCTTCGATTTTTGGGGGATTCCTTAAATTAGGAGTACCCTTATGGGGGTCCAATAATAAAGACTATAGTATTTCGGGGTCTAAATTGGGTTCCCCTTAGTTTGAGGAATTACCCCTTATAATATGGTTGTTGAGCAGCATTTACAGGAATTACTTAGTTCTGGTCCCAGCCCAGCAACAGGTAAAAGAAGGAGTATGTTAGGACTCTAAGGCAATGGCCATATTTCTTGGAGTGGTTACCCCTAGTTCTTCAGTTGGCGAGGACCTGGTGCAAGCACCTTCAATTTGGGGTTAATCAGCTTGATTTCGGGGGTT